CTAATAGACTTGTTACACTTTTATTTTCTTTACAGAACATCTTGAAACTGCTTATTAAAAATAAAAATACAACAAAGGTTACAACTTTGCATAAGAAAGATTTGATAAATTAGTAAATGTGAAGACAGCACTGCACTGGCACAGAAACAATAGGTTTCTGATAATTCAGTCATGGCTATTTTTACTTAATTGACTGAAAATTTGCTCTGTGGTGTATCATCATTTTTAGCCCTGCAAAATTACTTGTACTTTGCTTGATTTCTGTTATCATAGCTGACAGTGCAGAGAAATGATTCATTAAGAAGTCCTCTCATTCTCTTGAGATTTGCTTTGAAAGCTTTATTCACATTCAGCTGTTTGTTTAAAGAGGATAATCATGTCAAGAAATGGGTCTGGATTGCTTGCAAAGATGGTATAGCCTGACTTTGGCTCCAGTTACTACCTTATTAACAGTTCAAAAAATGGAAAGAAGTAAAGGAACATTTTAGAAGATCTGTGTTGACACAGAATTAATTTGGCATGGAATTTCAGTGACTTAACTTTAAGCCTTATTTGATAGGTCAAGAAATAGACTATAACCAGACATCTTAGAAATAGCAGTAACAAGAATATTAACAGTAGCCAAGTAGTTAATTAACTGGGTTCATATTTATGTGCTTTATTTACACTACCATATTGCCTGCCAACAGTTAACTTTTGAACTAAGAGAGCCAGCCTCATGCTGCAGAGTGTGAGACTAAGACTTAGAAGGGTCAAGTAATGTGTATATGTTCCCACATCTTACAGATAGCAACCCTTGCTAAGATCTTTGATACTCTGTAGACTTTTGAACTGTTTGGCTGTACTATTACCTATCTCAAACCATCAAACATTGTCTTAACAGCAGGGCGATGCTAAAGCAGTAAATGTAAACGATGATAAAAAGAAGAAGGTTTTGAAAGAATGGCAACAGATGATAGAATTTTATTTCCAAAGCAATATGTAATTGGACTCAAATTCAAGAATAAAATATAAGCACTGTGGTTAGTCATATAGCTTAGGATCCCAGACTGATGCTTTTCCTGAATTATCACTGCATAAGTGTAGGAACTAGTATTGGAGTCCATTTTTTTTTCACTGACTGTGCCCTTTTAAAAACCAAGGCAAGCTGGGCATGGTGGCACATGCCTGTAGTCCCAGTACTTGGGAGGCAGAGGCAGGCAGATCTCTGTGAGTTCAAGGCCAGCCTGGTCTACATAGTGAGTTCCAGGACAGCTGGGGCTACAGGGAGACCCTGCTTCAAAAAGACAAAAAACAAAAAACAAAACCAAGGCAATACCAGAGACTAAAAGCCACCTTATGTAGTTACTGATGTTAGAAATGTCATGATGAGAGCAAGGGACTAAGAATTTGGTGTTTAAGTCTAACATAGGCATTTTAAGTGAACTTCTTCACAAAAGAAGACAAAAATCTTCTACTATAGCTGTGCCGCCTCCTAGTTTGTCAGTTGCATGAAAAATCTTTGATAAGTTTTTCTCTTCCACTTTTATTCTTTGTTTTACACAACTTTTTGGATATAAATACCATATGGTATTTGAGAACTACATAGGTGGTTAGACTGGAGAGTAGCTGGAGACTGGGATTGAATAACAGAGAGCAGAGGTTGGTGCTAGTGGAATTGAGACTGGTAGGATTGGGGACTGCAGAGGTCCCAGGAGTCTCTATTGTTCCTGTTTTGTCTGTTGCTATATATGCAGAGCCCACCATGAAACCCAGTTGATGGCAGCTCAGTAAAGATTACAGGAATTAACAAACATTGGATGAGTGTTTCCATACCAGTTTGATCCCCTCCCCCTTCTTCACATCCTTGTTAACAGTTGTTCTGAACTTGTTTATACAACACTGTTCTTTTAATACTTAGAAAAGCTCTGTAGAACAGGGAATACATTGAAAAGCCTTGGAGTGTTCTGAGTTCCTGAGAGAGAGAAGGATTTACTGGGTTTTTGTTCTTAGAGAGCAGGGATTTTCTGCATAAAATTCTCATCAGCACTCTAACAAATTTTCATTGAGCTGCCCCCCCCCTTTTTTTAAAAAGGAGGTGGTTTTAATATTGAAATGGAGATAAATATCCTCTCTGTTCCTGTGTTGCTAGCTGGGAACTTTGTTCTGCACTAGACTGTCACACTTGCCCAGTGCTTTCAAATGGCTTCTGCTTGTATCACCTCCTGAAAAATGAGTTACATTTCTATATCTACAAATTCTCAAGTGTCACCAGAGAATAAAAAAGGCTTCAGTGCATTGCCCTGACTGCTGACCAAATTCATATTTCATGGTATTTTCTTTTCTGGAAGGGTGAGGGCCTACAGTTTGTGAGACGTCAAAAGAAGTATAATAGATATAAAGGGAGTATTTTGTACCTTGAAATGTGATTTTGTCTTTGCTTCTTCCTTAGGAATTTGACTTTCATGATTAAATTTCATGCTTTCCTTATACTTAATCATTTGTAGCATGGCAGAACTAAAGATAAAATTTTGCCTTTTGGTATGGTATAAAATGATTTTTGGTATCAGTATGTTCTCAAAAATGAATTAGGAAATTAAGGGCTTTGTAAAAACATGAATTACATTAAATTAAGAGAGATACCTCAGTTATTGAAAATAATGTTTAACTATCACTTCTACCTAATCTAACTTTTTATCTTTGTTTCATCACAAATCTTTATAAACATTTTTTTTTCCTACTAAGTAAAGAAAAAAGGCATTTCCCAAATCTTGGAATATTGTAATTCTACTTCTTGATCTTCTTTTCTGTTTGTGAGACGTTTCTCTATTGTGGTTAAGATGGCTTGATGAATAACCCAGCATAGAGAGAGCTGACATTTGTGTGAAAAGGGTTTTTCTGATACAAACAGACACAACCTTTTTCTTGTGCAGGCCGTGATTGCTAGCACTCTGGAGGAAGAGGCAGCCAGCTGTCTGGCCAACCTGGTCTACTTAGTGAGTTCCAGGTCAGGCAGGGCTACATAGTGAGACCCTGTCTCAAAAGAACCCAAAAGCCAAAAACCAAACAAAGAAAAAAAAGTTATTCTTTGTAACTTTATAGTGATATTTTCAGGGGGCTGGAGAAATGGCTCAGCCATTAAGAGCACTGGCTTCTCTTTCAGAGGACCTGGGTTCAGTTCCTAGCACCCACACAGTAGCTGACAACCATCTATAATTCCAGTTCCAGGGGATCCAAAGCCCTCTTCTGGCCTCTGCAAATTTTGCACAACATGGGTGTACTTACATGCATGGCAGACAAAGCATTCATACCCATAAAAATAAAAAGTTAAAAAGGTGCCATTTTCAGGTACTCTGTGCTAGGAGAAGGCAAGTTCTTGAGTAATTACAATTAAAACAAATGTATGACTGTTAAATGATGTAAATTATTATCATTGTTATTTTTGCACAAAGAGACTGGCAGAAATTAAGTATGTAAGATGTTATGAGCAGAGAATGTCTTTGGGATAAAAGACTCAAGTATTGATAGTATCATTTGTCTACAACATTGATAAGATGCTATATGTGAATCAACAAGGCTAAATAATGGAGGAGTGTGGAGAAGTGTGCTGGAGTTGACATTGGGTTTTATGACTCAGGAGAGTCCTATGCTTATCTCTGGCTATGCATGTGACATCAGTCAAGTGACTTAATTATGTTGATCTTTTATCCTTTCACCGATAAAAAGGGTGTGCCTGATTGAGAGCAAGTATCTCACAAGTTCTGATGCACATATGTAAAGTGAGATATGGAAAGTACCTAGGTCATTGTGATAATTTAGATCTATTATTATTGGCAAGAATATAAAAGTAGTATTAATATGCTAATGGAAATACACTTTCTGAAATGAAAGGATTACTGAACATATGCAAATTAACCAGTGGGGTATACCACCCTAACAGGAGAAAGGATAAAAATCACAGAATCATCTCAAAATGTTCTTGAGCAGCAAGATGTTCTTGAAAAGATTCAACACATTTTCATGATAAAGACTTTCGAAAACCAGGTATAAAGGGAATTTCCCTCAGTATAACAAAGACTGTATATGAAAACTCAGAGCTTTCCTCTGAGTTCTTGGGATCAAAGCTGAAGGCATCACACTTTCTGACTTCAAATTATAGTAAACAAATCAGTCTAGTGGTGTTAAAAAAGATACATTGACCAGTAGAACAGAATAGAGAACCCAGAAATAAAGCCATATAATAACCTGTAGTCAATTGATCATCAGTAAAGGCACCAAAAACGTACAAGGGGGAGAAAAGATAAAAAGATAGTCTCCTTAAGAAATGGTGTTTAAGAGGACAGTTTTTTTACTTTAGCTGAATCATTTTGTTTTGAACTTTTAATTGTGTGTGTGTGTGTGTGTGTGTGTGTGTGTGTGTGTGTGT